CCTATCTTGACACCCTGGCAGATCCAACTTTCCAACAAGATAATGCCCGACCACATGTTGCAAGAGTCACAATAGACTTCTTTCAACATAATGATGTCACATTGTTACCATGGCCACCAAGATCTCCCGATTTATCCCCAATTGAGCACGTGTGGGATATGATGGGTAGGAGATTGCTCAATTTGCAACGTCCTCCTCAGACTCTAGAAGCACTTCGAGAGGAGTTGGTGGTTGCCTGGAATGAGATACCACAGGAGGACATTGACCACCTGATCAGAAGCATGACTAGGCGCGTTGGAGAATGCGTAGCATGTCAGGGTGCATCCACACATTATCAAAGGTCAAAGGGCTTTAAAGCAGTGCAATGATTTTAAAATTTTTATCATTTACTTATTATGCTTCATTAAGTACTTATACAAAATTTTATTAAAATAAAACCATTTAAACTGGGTGTTCGGATTTATATGTCAGTATATTATTGGTACTCAGTGTGGAGAAGAATGAATTATTGAAATTATTGAACACGTGCAATAGATAAATTAAACAAGTCAGTCAAACAGGCCCATACAGTTAGTCCAAAGGCAGTTCTTTCCCTACACTACCGCTATTCACCGTCCATCTGGCGACGTTGCCCCTTCGTGTATCGACGCACCAATGCCCACCAAAGCACCGCCTCGATACAAGTAGAACAATCAAGCAGATCGTTATGCGGTACGCTGAGCCCAGAAGGAGTTGGATATCGCAAACATTTCTCTATCATACTGTTTTAGAGACAAATGTACGGACAAACCTATGATGTGTGAAATATGGGTAATCGGTGTGTAGAAATACCGAGGTTGGGAGCTTATAAATATAATAACATCAAAAAATTGAGATACATCCTCCCCCAGCCCCTAATTCTTTAGGCCTAAAAACGTTTTCAAAAATGATTAGGATCCTCTAAAACGCCAAAAAAGTTTGGCGATTCTTATGTATTTTGTGTTTTTTCTCCGCTGTCACTGGGCCGATTGTCAAAAGGTACTACGTTTTGAAGTAAAAACATAGCTGCAATGTAGTTACATGTCATAAGAGAAAACTTATGTGAAGGGGAAGTCTGTTGAATGTTGAAACATTCAATGTGCCGGGCTATGTTGGCTCTGAAACTGCTTGCAACAAACAAGCTTGTAAAATGATACCATTCAGCCTTGAAGGGTATTCATTAAGCTTCGCAGAGTACCGACCTTGATATTTTAGGCTCTCGTTAAAATTAACTTTGGCAAACAATTTTCTGTGTAGGTATCCAATTTTCTGGAAACGTCTATTCTCGACATCGTTCGTTCGATACCGTGCCCTTTCGAGAAAATGGATTATTTCTACTTTAATGGGAGTAATGGAATAAACGGATTGATCTTAAGCTAATGCTATATTCTAAGACGAGTTTTGTCGAGAAACTTCCAGTTTTTTCGATTAATCTCGTTAATTTCAATGAACTCTGCCGTAGCGTAAGTTATGCATGGTCCAGTGGTGTAGGATTGGGGTTGTAGAGGAAGGACCTCCCCGCGTGCTAGCCCTGTACGGAGAGGCAAAAAAATTGTCTAAAAAGGCTTATAATTCATTAGGGGGTATTTTCCTATCAAATAATAGCAAAACTCGTAGATGCGATTTCAGCTACCCTTCAGAAAATGTAGACACTATAGGAGCAACTCAAACTTTATTGCTTGCAGCGTGTAATTCCATATTTGTGTTGAAATAGTGTCCTAGGAGAAGTCAAGTCAAGTCAGTCGATAATAGAGATGGTCTTGTGGAAAAGGCAAGAGAATTTGCAAAAGGTATTTGTATATGGACATTCCTGTAGTGATGAGAAGAAATGTCGAGGAAAAAACTGATATTCGGAGAGAAAGCTGCAGTCTAGTCAGTAACGTTGAAGAAGAACTAAAAACACGTTTCAACAGAAAACCAACACTCGTTACCAAGGCGTGGAATGCATATCACCTCGGTTTGCTATCTTGGAGGCTTAGAATTTGCTAGAATTCAGAAACTGAACTGCCAAAATTACTTTGAGAACTACAATGAGATATTTTCAACTAAAATGAAATCTCATGTCTACCGAGGTTATTACAAACGGCAAACGTCCCTGAGGGAGAGGCTCCTGAGTGGAGGAGCTCTTTGAGACTACTGGCAGTTTATAGATGAATATGAGCTTCCATACAACATGTGTTCTGATGCTTTTTATTAGAAGCGCTTTTATAAGCTCAAGCTGATTTAAAGTTATCTCAGATCTACTGTGAGCCAAGCCCGACTCTCTGGCTTAGCCAAATTGGATTATTGAAAAATATGTAACCAAAGAGATCGGTTTTGATAAGGCTTTTTCTCTGTAAACCAAAGTTAGAACGAAGAGGTTCTAAATATACTAAGTGACATATAAATCCGAACACCCAGTTTGAATGGTTTTATTTTAATAAAATTTTGTATAAGTACTTAATGAAGCATAATAAGTAAATGATAAAAATTTCAAAATGATTGCACTGCTTTAAAGCCCTTTGACCTTTAATAATGTGTGGATGCACCCTACGCTACGCATTCTCCAACGCGCCTAGGCATGCTTCTGATCAGGTGGTCAATGTCCTCTTGTGGTATCTCATTCCAGGCAACCACCAACTCCTCTCGAAGTGCTTCTAGAGTCTGAGGAGGACGTTACAAATTGAGCAATCTCCTACCCATCATATCCCACACGTGCTCAATTGGGGATAAGTCGGGAGATCTTGGTGGCCATGGTAACAATGTGACATCATTATGTTGAAAGAAGTCTATTGTGACTCTTGCAACATGTGGTCGGGCATTATCTTGTTGGAAAGTTGTATCTGCCAGGGTGTCAAGATAGGGTAAAAGATGGGGTTCTAGAACTTCATGGATATGACGCTGCGCGTTCATGTTACCTCTGATGAAGATTAAAGGTGACCTGGAACCATAAGCTATAGCACCCCAAACCATAACTCCAACAGTGTGATGAACATGTCTTTCAACAAAAAACTGTGGATTCCTCCTTTCACCACGTCGCCTTCTAACCCTGGCACGACCATCGTGCATGCCTAAACAAAATCGAGACTCGTCACTAAAGACAATACTGTTCCATTCCTGATCCCAGAGTGACCGTTGTCTGCACCACTCAAGGCGATTACGTCGGTGTTCTCGAGTTAAAGGGAGGACGCAGTGTGGCCGGTATGAAAACAAGCCAAAACTTCTCATTCGTCGGTAAACACTTCGCATGCCAATAGGTCTTCCGTGTTCTGCAAACCATTCATTTGCAATGGACCTGGTAGTGGAGAAACGGTCCCTTAAGGCCAATAATCTTAGGTGGCGATCTTCACGGTCTGTTGTTCTACGGCGGCGTCCAGTACCCCTTGCTCTTTGCGTACGCCCTTCTCGAAGCCATGCCTGACAACACCTAACCACAATGTCATACACTTCTTTGCACTCTAACTGCAATTGCCCAAAAAGAAAGTCTTGCTTCCCGAAGTCCCACTATACGGCCCCTATCAAACTCACTAAGTTGACGAAATCGTACAGGTCTCCGTACTCTAGGCATCGTAACCGAGCGTAAAGGATGTCAAGAACCAAAATCCGCCAACGTTGATTCTTTACTGCGGCTGAAATATTCATTTTTAGAGCGTTAGTGAATTGAAAAAAAGCAGTATAAAAACCGGAATGTCCAACTGATAAGGCTGAACATTTGTTCACTTGTTATTTACAGTAAGATAAATACATTCACCAACTTTTATTAAAATAAAACCATTTAAACTGGGTGTTCAGATTTATATGTCACTTAGTATAAAAAGAAGGTTATCAAAAACAGCACATTATGTTAAACTCATGTACATAAAGAATCTGAATATATCATTTAATCACATAGGTGTATGAAAACAAAGTAGAAAAACACACGTAGGTTTTCCTTTCAAATTTTATGTAATAAAAGTCCCTGCTGATTTTAGCTTTACTAAATGTAAACCAGGAATTACAAGTAATAGTACAGTATACTATACTATGATATTATAATAACAATGTTGATAGGCCTACTATGTAATGAAAATGTTACATTTGCCTTAAATGTACATATGTATTTTATTTACATTAAAATGTTTACATACAAATTCTCTAAAGCAAGCAGTTTACTTTTCCTTTCACTCCTTCGATCCCATCATTTCTACCATAAACAAATAAGGCTCAAAAATTTTAATTGTGTAATGTTCGGAGGGGCGAGTGAGAAGTATAAGCCCCGCCCCGGGTGTCACAAGGAGCCGTATTCATAAAACAAAGGATATCCTTGTACTTGCTAATTTTGAAGAAAATCCTCCAGATGGTATTTATTATAATTTGAAGTAAATGCTTTTGCTTTTTGAGTATAATCATATCCTTCAAAGCAGTGACATAAGTAAAAGGATATTCATAATCTTCACCTTATACTTGACATAGGAAGCATATTAACTTCGTAACGGAAGGTGGTCAAACGATGATGGCGGAAATTGTGGATGTTAGGAATGTTAAAACGTACAAACCTCGTTTACCTTCACTTGGTGGTGACTTCAAAAAATTATATAGGTTCGACGAAGCTAATGTACAATGGCTTGCAGACAGATTTTTAGTTGAGAATGAGAAAACTCGAGGAGGAGCACTTTCATGCATTCATAAAATTAAGATATGTCTACGCTATCTCGGTGACCCTGGATATCAACAAGGTGTTAGTCAAGCAACGGTATCTCGGACTGTAGATAGAGTTGTGAACAGCATAGTTGCACAGTCGAACGAATTGATCAAGTTTCCAACTACCAACCATTAACTGATGGAGGCCAAGCGGATATGGCCTAGCATGTATGAATTTCGGACAGCAATTGGTGTAATTGATTGTACACATATAGGAATCCTGAAACCAAATCGCCATGGAGATGAGTATATCAACCGAAAAGGGAAACCTACTTTAAATGTGCAAGCCACTTGTGATGCCAGAGAGATATTCACAAGTGTTGATGTCAGTTGGCCTGGATCAGTGCATGATTCCAGAATATGGAGAAATTCACAGACTAATGGTTTCTTCAAGGAATCGTACTTTCTCATTTTTATTTTTGGAACTTGTGATTTTTGCAAAATAATGGGAGCAATGGCAATTTCATCTGCGATGAACTGCAGGTCGTTGCCATTATTTTCTATAGTTTCCTGATCACTTGAGGATGACATGCTTATTAATTTTGCAGGAGTACAACCGTCAGTGATGCTGAGTGAACGAACTCCCACCTCAACTACAAGCTGGAACAAGTCAGGACATGTCGCTCAAGATACAAATATCGATCAACCTTTTAATTCTTCTTGGAGGATATCCTCGCGAGTATAAGGCAATCATTATGAATATGAAAACAAGGATATGCTTATACCTCTACCTTTTTCTCCGAAGCAACGCCTTATACTTTAACCTTATGCTTCCGAGGATATGCTTCTCTTTTATGAATACGGCTCAAGATCTTGCTACACGTCTGGCAGGATTCTCCAAGAAATAAACTCAACAGTCGACTCTTATTCATAACTATTCTTAGCCTATTTCCGAAAAACCGCGTTATTTAAAAAATATACCGTGTATGAAAACTTATTTCACAATGAAAAATGACTATAGGCTGCGGCATATTCTAAGGGTTTTTGTATTTTTGCGAGGTGGTGGAAAGGTGAGAGACAGTATAGTATTTGAACAATATACTAAGTGACATATAAATCCGAACACCCAGTTTAAATGGTTTTATTTTAATAAAAGTTGGTGAATGTATTTATCTTACTGTAAATAACAAGTGAAAAAATTTTCAGCCTTATCAGTTGGACATTCCGGTTTTTATACTGCTTTTTTTTAATTCACTAACGCTCTAAAAATGAATATTCCAGCCGCAGTAAAGAATCAACGTTGGAGGATTTTGGTTCTTGACATTCTTTACGATCGCTTACCCTAGAGTACGGAGACCTGTACGATTTCGTCAACTTAGTGAGTTTGATAGGGGCCGTATAGTGGGACTTCGGGAAGCTGGACTTTCTTTTCGGGCAATTGCAGTTAGAGTGCAAAGACGTGTAGACACTGTGGTTAGGTGTTGTCAGGCATGGCTTCGAGAAGGCCGTACGCAAAGAGCAAGGGGCACTGGACGCCGCCGTAGAACAACAGACCGTGAAGATCGCCGCCTAAGATTATTGGCCTTAAGGGACCGTTTCTCCACTACCAGGTCCATTGCAAATGAATGGTTTGCAGAATACGGAACACCTATTGGCATGCGAAGTGTTTACCGACGAATAAGAAGTTTTGGCTTGTTTTCATACCGGCCACACTGGGTCCTCCCTTTAACTCGAGAACACCGACGTAATCGCCTTGAGTGGTGCAGACAACGGTCACTCTGGGATCAGGAATGGAACAGTATTGTCTTTAGTGACGAATCTCGATTTTGTTTAGGCATTCACGATGGTCGTGCCAGGGTTAGAAGGCGACGTGGTGAAAGGAGGAATCCACAGTATTTTGTTGAAAGATATGTTCATCACACTGTTTAAGTTATGGTTTGGGGTGCTATAGCTTATGGTTCCAGGTCACCTTTAATCTTCATCAGAGGTAACATGAACGCGCAGCGTTATATCCACGAAGTTCTAGAACCCCATCTTTTATCCTGTCTTGACACCCTGGCAGATCCAAGTTTCCAACAAGATAATGCTCGACCACATGTTGCAAGAGTCACAATAGACTTCTTTCAACATAATGATGTAACATTGTTACCATGGCCACCAAGATCTCCCGACTTATCCCCAATTGAGCACGTGTGGGATATGATGGGTAGGAGATTGCTCAATTTGCAACGTCCTCCTCAGACTCTAGAAGCACTTCGAGAGGAGTTGGTGGTTGCCTGGAATGAGATACCACAGGAGGACTTTGACCACCTGATCAGAAGCATGCCTAGGCGCGTTGGAGAATGCGTAGCACATCAGGGTGCATCCACACATTATTAAAGGTCAAAGGGCTTTAAAGCAGTGCAATCATTTTGAAATTTTTGTCATTTACTTATTATGCTTCATTAAGTACTTATACAAAATTTTATTAAAATAAAACCATTTAAACTGGGTGTTCGGATTTATATGTCACTTAGTATAATTCCCAAAAATTTAATTGGGAACCTATCGTTGAGACACCACCTCCGAAGGGTTATTTCGTACCAGTCCCTACCACAGTCTGTATTAAAACCGTCATGCAACTTCGACTATTTGTACAGATCTAATACATTCTCAAATAAAGTTACTGAATTAATCCCTCAATTCGTGATACCCTGATGATAGCAGCACGCACGTCTATCACCTGCTCAAATAGGTACGAGGGGAGTTCCATCTGAACCGTTGTAGAGGAGGGTTGGCATCGGCGTACGTAGTACCCTGGGAACTACAACTAGATTCTTTCGCTAATTCATGATTTATTGCAATCATCATTAGTCGATTGGTAAAAGTTATAAGTTTTTAAGTGTGTTCTACATGACTTAGAGCCAGACCACATGTGAACACCCTTAATCTACTGGCAAATAGCATAATTTGCTGCCGTCATAACTAGCTAAGAAGAAGTAGCTGCGAGATTACTTTAGATTTAGATTTTAGACTTATTTCAATATTCGCGACGTTTCTAATCTCCCATAAACAATAGCGTTGGCGGTCTAATGTTCACAATCTACAGGGTGTAAACGTTATGGTAGTCTAAAAGTTCATATGGCCCATGGTCCAAAAGTCAATAGATCTAAATGGCTATATAGTTTACAACTCTAAGTGCTTTATATCGACCACAATCATCACAATCTTACTAATTTTTATAATCTAATCTAAAACGTTTTTAAATTGGGTATTTAACAAATAAATGGCATTAAGTTTTTCTAAGTTAAGCCAAAATTTGTAGTCAGTAAGTAAGTAAGTTTCATTAAATTGAGAATTTAAAACACACATGACAACAGCGCGTCGGTCATCATCACTCTTATCGAACCGGCAATCGATCGCAAACGGTAACAGTGGTTAGTATGTTGTTTTGTTTTTGTTCGCGTACGTCGTCGTGTTTATTTACAACGTTCTCGAATCAAGAGTTTGCCGACATGTTGTTAGTTTACGGTGAAGCTCGTCAGAATTCAAATCATGCAGCTCAAATTTGACGATCAGGTAATTGGCCCTCTCGAGTTACCCCCAAAGTTGTCCGGAGAAGGATACCTTAGCTTTCTAGCCAACAACCTACCAGAAGCTTTGGAACAGACCTTAGACAACATGCTATTACAACGGAGACAGAATTTGTGGCTTCATTCAGTATTTGAATGAACATTATCCAAATCGCTGGATCGGTCAAAATGCTCCTGATCCTTGAAAATGGCCAGCAAGATCTCCTGACCTCAATCCGATGGATTTCTGGTATTGGGGAGAACTTAAAGGGATGGTTTATGGGGCTGGTCCAATAACAACTGAAGCACAACTTCGCGAAAAAAAATTTAATGCCGCTGAAATAATAAATGGACAACTTCGAGGACCTAGAGTTAGGAGAAACTGGGTTCGTCGTAATGAAGCTTGTGTGGAAAGTGGAGGACGACATTTTGAACAGCTTCTTTAAATACAAAAAAGTGCAGTGTGGGTTTTAAAAAGAAAAACAATGTATGTATCAAAATTGTGTTCCCTATTTTAAAGTAGATTTTTGGACCATGGTTTATAAAGCAAACTAAAATTAATTTTTCATGTAGATTCACACCCTTAAAAATTCGCATATCATCAAGGAATACCCTGTATTGAAGGCTCATAAATTAATAATGCAGATACTGTCAATATACTATACCCTTTGAAGCGTTCCCTGCAATTGTGCTTGAGGCAACTTGAGCCACTGACCGCACAATTCGTTTTTGGGCTATAAAGGTATTTTGAACCGTGGATTAACAACCCTAGAAGCAGATTTCGTATCTGATTTTACATTCCACACGGACATTATATATTGCTGTCAAATGACTCTCCGAGAGAACAGCGCTTGAGCTTCTAAACATGTCATATGGGATATTTAACTGTGAAACTAGAAGCTCGCACTGCACCCTAAAGCTAAGTTCTCGCCAGTAGGCCAGGGGACGAAAAAGCACAATTAGTCTCTATTCGATGCATTTAACATAAGTATCCAGAAGTTTTACGTCTTCTGCACTTTTACGCGTTACCCAGTTATACAATTTATACCTAAAAGAGCAATCTTGCATTATGACTTAGATATGTATCATAAAATGACCATACTTAAAGTGTATCGGCACGGTGAAAGAGGTAGAAAGAATATCAACGGATACAAAGATATGCAATGCAATTTTCTCTTTACGTACTGTCGGGTCCCTTCTAATATGCCTGTAGCATGGAGATATGTGCACTTTATAAGGAAATGGGGGCAGTTTGCCTAATGAAAAAGATGTCAAAACATCTGGAAGTGGACCGAGCCATTGTAACCCGTAAGGTTTACAGACTTCCAACAAAAACATTATCCTGATTATGAGGGAAGCGCAGCATAGGGCTCATAAACACACAAAAAGGGTGCTCGTAAAAGTTCAACATTTGTTTTTTTTTATTCTCCACCTACCACGAAGGCCTAAGGCCTAAACACCCATTGGGTACCGTGGGGCTATAGGGGATACAGGGGAACACCACACGGACTCTGGCGAGGGAACACGTGTGCATGCAACATGCATACATTCTGGCTCCGCCTACGAGATCCGCCGGGTGGTACCTCCGGGTTCGACAGTCAGAGACCGTCTACCACCTACGGACAACCGTAACATCCATAGCCAAGAGAAAAATTTCTCCTGGGATGGGATTCGAATCCGCGCAGCGCACGGCGACTGATCAGGAGGCCGAAGAGTCTACTACTGCGGCCACTGCTGGCTGCCTTAGATAATATAGATATGTAATAAAATGAAATATTCAACTGCAATGGAGATTCAAAACAAGTCAAGTAAATTACACCCGTAAGAGGTTTTTTGGTAGAGTTTTCCACTGATATTGGCTTCCTTTCACTTTAACGTTAACGACTGTCCAGCTCTCCCACCTGTCGAATTGACAGATGTTTGAAGAATAGCTCACCAAATAAAATGGAGAATATCATGTGTTGATCTGATTGTACATATTCTAAAATGCGACACCACTGAATAAATGACCATCTGTAGGACCTCTCGGTCCAAGAGAATCGTTCGGAAAGAGCAGGTACTCAATTCTGTGCTTGGATTTCGAGGAGAAAGACCTCGTAAGTTTTCTGTTCTTGGCTATTTACATTCTAGGTAACATAATTTTGACTTTATTGTAGATCAATTTATTATCTTTTAACATCTCATTATTATAATGAAACGATATCAATCTCTTGAACTTATACAACATATCTAGTTTATATCTCTAGTTCTTCCATATTCGATGAACTAAATATTTGAATTGAATTGAAGCTTGAATTTTTAATTAATCATAATGAAATCAGTTCAATTTCATGCTTGATAATCACCTATTGGGCTGACAGAGTAACTCAACTAAACAGCCCAGTTTTTTCTTTTCTAAAATAATATTGTTGTCCTGAGAGTTAATAAACGGGTGATCTTCAGTTGTTTCATTTCGTAGCCACATAGTTTATCTTCACTTAACCCCAACTGAGTGTGAGACTTTTACTCGAGCATCTCCAGTATGCCACTCTTGAGAATGAAGTGTCTAGGACAGTTCTAAAGTGATAAGGTCATAACTTTTGAAGATTCTTCTGATCAGTTTTTCAAATATTAAATATAAAACTAAGTGTAAAATCAACTAACTAATTAAATTTTTTTAAAAATGATCTACTACTCGTGACACCTCTTGTCAAAAATTTAGAAGCTTTTATGATTATATTTGTCCCGCCCAAATTTTTGTTTGCAGTTTACTTCACACTGTAAATCAGTTTGAGGTTAAATTGAAAGCAGTGTTGTTCATGTTATTTTTTGTTCCTATTCATAAGCTTTTTTTACATTTGGTAAGTAGATATTTTAAAGATATATTTTTTACGTATTTTATGGACATGTAGTTAGTTGTTGCTGTAATAATTAATTGAAAAAGGGTTTATTTAGGTTGAAAATTAATTGATAAACATAAATTCGTGCTTGTTCTGTATATCGTGCCACCCACGGCTTTGTAAATCGTACCGGAACGATTTTCAACAAAGTTTTTATTACAGGTTTTTTAAAAAGAAGATGAGTAAAGTAAGAAACAAGAAAATAACAAAACGGGAATACTGTCGATGGACCTCAGAAGATATGGATCATGCGATTAATGCATACAAACAAAACCAGTGTAGTTTTAATGAGTGCTGCAGACATTATAACATTCCAAAGCCCACTTTTAGAAGGCACTTGGGCTCTTTAAATAAAAAGGCAAATGAAAATGTTCAGTCTTTGGGTCGACACACAACTTTTAGCCCTGAAATTGAAATGAAATTGGCAAAAAATATTTTAAAGCTGGAAGAAAGACTTTTTGGTGTAACAATTTGAGGTGTTCGACGATTGGCTTTTCAAACAGCAGTTCGTAATGATATTCCACACCTATTTAATATCAATAAGGAAATGGCGGGAAAAGCATGGTATTATTCTTTTATGGACCGACATCCTGAACTGTCACTTAGACAACCAGAGAAAATCTCCATGGCCAGAGCAACTTGATTCAACCAAAAAAACGACCATGAGTTTTTCGATATTTTAGAAAAATGTGTTGATGAAAACGGTTTTACGGCTTGAAAAATTTATAATGTTGATGAAAGTGGCTTTTCAACAGTTCAGAAACGGAATCAAAAAATAATTGCACGTAGAGGAAAGCACCAAGTTGGAGGTATAGCAAGTGGTGAAAAGGGCGTAAATACCACAGTTGTCGTTCGTGCCGGTGCTGCCGGTCAAACTGTACCGCCCATGATAATTTTTAAGAGAAAACGTTAGGCTCCAGACCTTACCATAGGTGCAATACCTGGAACTATTGTTACAATTTCAGATACTGGATATATGGTTACAGCACTTCATTGAGTACGTAAAACCAAGTACCGAAAAAAAAGTTTTACTCTTACTAGATGGCCACACAACACACGCACTCTAAAAATCTAGAAGCACTCATTTTAGCAAAAAGTCATGGAATTGTACCACTGCAACTTTCTGGCCATACTACAAATCGGTTGCAGCCGTTAGACGTGAGCTTTTTTAAGCCTATGGAATCCTATTTTTCTCAAGGTCTAGAAACATTTTTAAGAGGCAATCCTGGTAATACTGTTTCTCAATACAACATGACTGGATTGCTCTCTGATGCCTATGCAAAAACAGCATCAATAAGCACTATCATTAATGGTTTCAAAAGAACTGGAATATGGCCGGTTGACCACTGAATTTTCTGAGACAGATTTTATCGCTGCTAGTGCCTTGCTTAAAAATGATTCAGAAAAAGCAAGTGAGGACTCAGAGGCAGAAAATCTACGCGAAATGACTCCTGAGCCTAAGACGATGCTATTAAACCAACATTTTACAGTTATAGTACCGAACAAAACAAAAATTGCAATACAAGAGATCTCAATACCTCTATTGAAGAAATTTACGCTCTACCCGAGAATAAAGGTTACGCTAAGAGACGAAAACTTTCTCAACCAGCCGTCATTCCGAGCACCACGCCTTGTAAGGATGAATTAGAAAAAAAACGTAACCAAAGGCAAAAATCAACCAAAAAAAGTAAAAAAAAATCTTGAGCTTTCTTCTCCTTCTCTTTTTAAAGCACGTGACGGTCAATCTTCCACTTCAAAATCTGCCGAGGTAAAGGCTCAAATTGAAAATGATCCTACTGATTGGTACTGCTTTATAGGTGAAGAGAACATTATTGAAGATATGGTGAGATGTATTAAATGTGGAAAATGGGTCTACACATCATGTGCAGGAACCAAAAAACAAATATAAAAATATGTGTGTGAGAACTGTAAATAACAAATTAGTGGTACGATTTAGAAACCGATGGTACAATTAAACCAACCTGTTCGCTTAATCGTACCACTTGCAAGCCTTTCTGTTTTTGTATTTTTTTTTTGCTTAAGATGTTTGATTCAGTCGAACTTTTGATTCCTAGAAAGCTAAATGTTTATTTGTGCTTGTGTACTAATATTATCAATAAAGAGTTTAATTTTTGAGTACAGTGTTCAAAAATTTAAAAATCGGTACGATTTACCCTACTTTACCCTATTAATTAGGTAAGTAGCCTTACATCTTTTTCTCAAATCACCTGATAAATTGATATTCATTTTAATAACGGTATCCGTTAGTCAGCTCTAAGCGCAGCAAACTCTCAATAATATGAACTTTGAGTTATAGTCGAAATGTCTTCTCGAATTCCGGTCTATACTAGTGATAGTACTAACTGACATCGTGATTAGACTTAGACAACTAACTAATTCATTTGACTAATCAGCTAATTACGTTTCACTAATCAATATCAATATCGGTCAACCTGTTACATACTGAAGTCATTTCTTACCGAATTTCCAACCCAACAGTCATCTGATTTCTCTGATTCTCCACATTTGCCACCAAAGTATAAACTAATAACTTTGGATGACTCCACAGAGGATATTTTATAGGATTTATGATCGAAGACCGAACACGCTTTAATTGATCTACCTCTAAATATATCTAAAGGTCTGGTGACTTGTAATGTCACGTATTCCTGTTAAGGGGTGATAGATTAGGTCAAAAGCAACCGATTTTGACCTATAATGTCTCATCCAAAAGTTAACCATTTTTGAGTTATCTGAATTTTAAGTTTTTTTATTTTTTATTCCGATTTCAGACGGTTAAAATTATTGAAATACAAAAAAACTGCATGCTTGGTTTTTGAGGTTTTTGTTATCGTCGCATAGCAGACATTCCAATAGATCATAATAAGTAATAAAATGTTGAAAAGCTACAAACGTTTTAACATTACGCTTTTTAAATGTATCATTTTATTTGTTTTAATAACTTATTCGATAAAAAATGCAATTTTCTGTAAAAAATCTCGTAGTAATGAAATGTGCAAATTATGTAAATAATATCTCTATCTAACAAGCTTTCATTTGAGGTATTAACCGTTCAATTATCTGAAGTACATGCAGAGAAACAACAATGACACCCACAGAGGCTGGATTTTTAAGGAATTTGTATTACCTGTTTGAACAAGTCGTTACTGTCCTCAAAGGACTCGCATGCCATGATTGTTTTATGGCATCGGCTCGACGAGGAAGCGAGCGAGAAGAGCTGACATAGTGGAGGAGTGAGAGAGAGAGAGAGAGAGAGAGAGCTGTTATTACTCATCATTGTAGTTACGCGATCGCCGCACGCCGAGTGAGAATTAGGTTTAGTTGGTATCAACTACTGCGTACGCGCACACGTTTTACGCACGATTATTATTTTCGAGTTTCCCAGTTCATTTCGAGTGTTTTTTTATCATCATGGCAGACGCAGAAGATCCGCCAGGACCTCGCCATAGCGAGCACGGGTAAACTTTTACAAATGAAGAATACGCAGACATAATTTTCTGTTATGGACTTTGTAACGGCGATTCTGCAGCTGTCCGCCGTGAATATCGGCAACGTTTCTCGAATCGCCGAACACCTCATGTTACTGTGTTTGACTCTGTGTATCGGCGCATTCGCCAAACCGGACATGTTCAAAGGCAACATAGTAATGCTGGTCGACCCCGAGTCTATCCTCCTGAAGATGAAGAGGAAATCCTTCGTGTGTTTCAGGAAGACCTTACTACGTCTACGAGCATTGTGGCTGCTCAGTTGGGTATATCACAATACAAAGTATGGTTTACTGTCCATACTGTAAGATTATACCCTTATCAGTACACGCCTGTGCATGTGATTGAAGAGGGCGATCCTGCAAGACGATTAGATTTCTTCAGGTACATGTTACATGCAGATACAGAAGATCCAGACTGTTTTAAGAAAATTCTGTGGACCGATGAATCGAAGTCTGATAAGGACGGGATTACTAACTACCATAATGCTCATTACTGGGCTGATAAAGAAGCTTTAGACCCCCGAAAAATAAGACCGACGGTTTTCAGTCAATGTGTGGATGGGCATCATTGATGGATATTTAATTGGACCTCATTTTCTGCCCGCTAATTTAAATGGAGAAGTGTATGAAGAGTTTTTGAAAAATCACTTGTTTCCATTAATGGAAGACGTCCCATTGGCGACGAGACAAAATATGCGGTTCCAGCACGACGGCTGTCCCGCACACTACAGTAGATTAGTACGGGTGTATTTAGACTCTAAATTTCCAAATCAATAGATTGGCAGAGGCGGGCCCATTTCCTGGCCAGCAAGAAGTCCAGATCTCACACCGATGTATTACTATGTGTGGGGACATATGAAAAGCCTGGTGAATTAGGTAAGAGAATGCGGGCGTGTATTCGTAACAGGAGATTACTTTTTGAGCAGAATCTGTAAAATACTAAAGGAAATGTAATTAAATAAAAATGTAATTAAAATAAAAGCCTTTTATTTATCCTACGTAATTATCGTTCGTACAACTTTAGTCATCTTTTTTTAATTTTATGTCTTTTTACTTGAATTAGTTGTAACTTTTATACCTCAAATGAAAGCTTGTTGAATACAGATATTATTCACATAATTTGCACATTTTGTTATTAGGAGATTTTTACAGAAAATTGAATTTTTGTCGAATAAGTTAGTAAAAAAATAAGAAAATCATACACTTCAAAAGCGTAATTTTAAAACTTTTGTAAGTTTTCAACATTTTATAACTTATTATGAACTATTGGAATGTCCGCTATGCGACGATAACAAAAAACTCAAAATCAAACATGTAGTTTTTTTGTATTTCAAATTTAACCGTCTGAAATCGGAATAAAAAATAAAATTCAAATCTCTCAAAAACGGTTAACTTCTGGATAGGACATTATAGTACAAAATCGGTTGTTTTGGCCTAATCTATCACACCTTAACAGGAATACGTGACACTACAAGTCACCCTGTATATTTCTATTAAAAACTCACAGTCAACGATACTGTACTTTGCAAGTATAACGTAATCAGAAATGCATATCGCATTTATACGTGATAATACCTAGCCATTCTGAATCGATTTAGTAAATTGCGAAGATTTACATGTAATTTTTGATAATATTATCTTCGGAAACCTACCTGATCTACAGGTTTAAAAAGCTGCGGTCTTTCAAAAAGGAGTTGATCTTAAAATAGTCGGAATAATCACAAATTGCATGTGTGCCCCATTTCTCCAAAGGATTCTGTATATCACAGGCTATCACTTAATAAATAATTTCATGATATTATACTTTTATGGCAACGTAGTTACGAAATATATACATATACGATATATGTTTATTGAAACTGATGTTACTGGATCAAGAAAGCACATTTTTGCTAGAAGATGAAGCATTTCAATGCTGGCCCGACGTTTTAAGAAGCGGAGCTCCTGTGCCTACAGGATCAAGTCACATCAAATAATGCTATAACATTTTTTTTTTAGTCCGGATCAGTCGGATACAGTGCAGTCATCGAAAAATATTCTTCGCCATCCTATCACTCCCATTCGCTACAAAAACCGTAAGCTCGGTATTATTTCCAGGCAATTGGCTGAGGGTTAGACTGCCTTTCTTTGTTTAGGAAAAAACGCTTTCAGTATTTGTACGTCTCTTAAGTTGAAATCAATACTGCGCAAATAAAAGGATACTGTTTCGATGAATTCGAATTTTATTTATAGGAAATGTATAAAAAACTGTCTCCGATAGTACGTACAATGACGCTCAAACTGGAAGGTATCAGAAAATGTTACATTGAGGATCAAGTCGTTTGTAACTCTTGTTGCGTAGTGTTGTCAGTCTTATCTCATGATGTGAATCGACAAATGATCGTACCATATTTCCAATTACGATCAAAGCACTATGAATATTCTAGGTCTGTAAATTTAGCGACGTAACGTTCCATCTGGCAATACATGGGAGAGCCGGGTTTGGAGGGGAGACAGTACAAGGTTGAACTCGCACGAGTCATTTGGTTGTCCGTAGCGATTTTTTTTTGTGAAACAGTTTTTTCTGTTGTGTTCTAAAAATTAGTGACGTCAATGCCCATGCCCATGCTTTTTGTTGGCTTAAGGCATTTGCAGAAGGAAAATAGTTGATTAAAGATGAATCACGAAGCGGAAGGCCTTCATCTTCACGATAATGCTCCTTGTCACACAGCAATGCCAATAAACGAGTTTTTGGCCAGTAAAATACTCCTGTGGCTCCTCAGCCTCTTTATTTGTCTGACTTGAGGCCTCACGACTTTTTTCTCTTCCCAAAGTTGAAAAACCACCTCAAGGGAATTCATTTTGGGACATCCGAAGACATTCAAACAGTGGAAGAACAGTCAGCGCTGTGAGGCGTCAGAAGGAAGTTAGTTTGAGGGAGGCAATATGAACTTGTAATTATATTTGAATGCAAATTTTACAAAATCTCTCATCACTCAATTTACAGACCTCGTACATGTCTGACATCTAAGAAATTTTATCAGGGAATCAGTAAAATTGGTTTTTTGGGTGATACTAATCTATCGCCAACTCTCCTTATCTCTGGTCGAAAATCAAATTTCGAAGTGGCGATATTAATCCCTCGTGCTTACTTGGCCAATAAAACTACATGTACTGACAAATCTTCTTTACTATAGTGAACTTTTCAATCACAAAGCTACTTTTCAGTACATTGACATATATTTGATTTATCTGTCTTCCAGGTGACAGTATTTTTTTCTTTACATTATCACATTCCTGCACAGTATGTTACTACAATAATCTGAAAGTCCCGGAACATGCTCAGATTGCTCGAATTCATTATTCCTAAGCTTCACTGTTGCATTGGGTTTTTCCTCTTAACTTAGAGCGATAAGGTTCTTCAATCCGAATACCGTCTAAAGAGCTTACACGACTAAGTGCTACATAAGCTTGTGCAGCAGCAAACAGTCACTAACCTAAATAAATGACTGCATGATCGACTATACAACCTTGCATCTTCATCTTGTGGACGGCGAAGCCCCAACTCAGGATGAATGGCAACATTATATATATACTATGTACTACATACCTTCTAAAACTCACTGCACGTCGATGTTTCCATTAATATTATAAGAAGAGCCTTTAAAACACCATCGCCGAACTCCATGACCCGCTAGACTGGTATTTCCCTTAGGAGCTCCGATATTCCATAAGAAAGTACATTTTCGCCATTATATTTTCACATAAATCTGACATTTGTGGTATTTTTGTCATTGAAAGCTGTGCCTAATTGAGGCTAATCGCAATACAGGGTGTGAATTGAGAGTCTTACATATCAAGAAGAAATCAATGACCAGAAGTAAGAAAAAAACTAAAAATAAAACCCTGAACGATATTCAAAGTGAAAATGAAGTTGAATTTATTGGAACTACGTGTAAGCCATAATGAATTCAACTTGATCCACCAAATTAAAACTCAAAATAAGGAACTAAAAAGAATAATTGAAAAAAACAATGTTTTACTGTTGGAAAAAGAAAAATGCATATTACAATAATTAGAAAAAGAAAACAAAAGACCACAAAAAAATTACGAACAAAGGACTAATATAGAATTAAAGCTGTTGAATCGAATGGCATACACCAACGATCATATAGCCAGGCAACAGCAGATCTAAGACATACAACAAAGACACTATGCATGAATCCTGCTAAAGAACAAACAATACTTGAAACAAACAAAGATTTAAATAAGATTGACCTATCGAAATTGAAAGTACAAGTAGACAACATTAAACACACTATATAAGGAGGAATCGAAGTGAAACTAGACGAAAAATACCTCACCACACTAAAAAATGAAATCGAAAAAAAGTTATCAAGAAAATACAATGCTACAGAAGAAGAAAAGAAGCTACCAAGAATAAAAATTGTCGGCTACAGATGTGAAGAACCACCTACTGAAGCAAGCCTCAAGGAAAGTACATATTATTAGATAAAATCATTTCATGCAAGAAAATGATATCAAAGTTGCTTATATAAGAAAGAATCACTTAAAAATTTATTATACATTATTTGCAGAAGTGAATGGAAAAACATATATACTAAGTGACGTATAAATTCGAACACCCAGTTTAAATGGTTTTATTTCAATAAAATTTTGTATAAGTACTTAATGAAGCATAATAAGTAACTGATAAAAATTTCAAAATGATTGCACTGCTTTAAAGCCCTTTGACCTTTAATAATGTGTGGATGCACCCTGATGTGCTACGCATTCTCCAACGCGCCTAGGCATGCTTCTGATCAGGTGGTCAATGTCCTCCTGTGGTATCTCATTCCAGGCAACCACCAACTCCTCTCGAAGTGCTTCTAGAGTCTGAGGACGACGTTGCAAATTGAGCAATCTCCTACCCATCATATCCCACACGTCCTCTATTGGGGATAAGTCGGGAGATCTTGGTGGCCATGGTAACAATGTGACATCATTATTGTGACTCTTGCAACATGTGGTCGGGCATTATCTTGTTGGAAAGTTGGATCTGCCAGGGTGTCAAGATAGGGTAAAAGATGGGGTTCTAGAACTTCGTGGATATAACGCTGTGATGAACATGTCTTTCAACAAAAAACTGTGTATTACTCCTTTCACCACGTCGCCTTCTCACCCTTATACCAACGTAATCGCCTTGAGTGGTGCAGACAACGGTCACTCTGGGATCAGGAATGGAACAGTATTGTCTTTAGTGACGAGTCTCGATTTTGTTTAGGCATGCACGATGGTCGTGCCAGGGTTAGAAGGCGACGTGGTAAAAGGAGGAATCCACAGTTTTTTGTTGAAAGACATGTTCATCACACTGTTGGAGTTATGGTTTAGGGTGCTATAGCTTATGCTTCCAGGTCACCTTTAATCTTCATCAGAGGTAACATGAACGCGCAGCGTTATATCCACGAAGTTCTAGAACCCCATCTTTTACCCTATCTTGACACCCTGGCAGATCCAACTTTCCAACAAGGTAATGCCCGACCACATGTTGCAAGAGTCACAATAGACTTCTTTCAACTTAATGATGTCACATTGTTACCATGGCCACCAAGATCTCCCGACTTATCCCCAATTGAGCACGTGTGGGATATGATGGGTAGGAGATTGCTCAATTTGCAACATCCTCTTCAGACTCTAGAAGCACTTCGAGAGGAGTTGGTGGTTGCCTGGAATGAGATACCACAGGAGGACATTGACCACCTGATCAGAAGCATGCCTAGGCGCGTTGGAGAATGCGTAGCACATCAGGGTGCATCCACACATTATTAAAGGTCAAAGGGCTTTAAAGCACTGCAATCATTTTGAAATTTTTATCATTTACTTATTATGCTTCACTAAGTACTTATACAAAATTTTATTAAAATAAAACCATTTAAACTGGATGTTCGGATTTATATGTCACTTAGTATAGATCCGTCACAGATGAAAATAATGGTAACATATTAGATTGGCAAAATTTGAATGTATATGATTATAACCAAATCACACAATGTAACAAATGTTTTAGATTCCACCATACTTCATATAAATGTAGAAATAATACAGTGTGCATCAGATGTGGAGGGAACCATGAAAGTCGCCAATGCAACATTGAAGGAAATAGATGTGCAAATTGCATATATCTTAATCAGAAATATAAAAAAAATATAACACCGACCATGTACCAACAGATCAAAAATGCCCGGTTTATAAGTATATGCAGTCTGCATATCTTGAATCAATCAATTTTTCAATCTAAAAAATAAACTAATAAATAAAAAAGTAAAATAAGTAAAGCAACAGTCCCAAAAACATACATTTCTTACAATGGACAATTACATAACTAATTTTAAGTTTGACAAAATAAAAAGAAATGATATATTTCACATGAGTCAATTAAATGCTTTAATGACCAATGGAAACATACGTCTAAAAATGTTCCACATAAACTTAAGAAGTCTTAGTCAAAACTTAGATTCACTAAAAGTTTGCACTTACTTTTATCTTTTTTTTTTTTTTATTAACGAGGGGGGAATGCATTTACGCACCATACCATAGCACGAGCTACGACGTGTGTGGGGCTCCAGGGTCTTGAAGAGATCACCTAATACCCACTAAACCCTAAACCTCCGCGTGGCCCGACTCATCAGCGTCTCGGTAGGCCATGTGTTGTGCGTGACCTGCGGTCTGCTACAACGTCTCCTCATGTGTTTCAGTCTCTGGGAACGCCGGGTTGGTTCCCTTTACCTCGCACATTCTATCGATGTCGTTAAGCGTTCATCGATAGAGGGTCTGCTAGTTTCTCTTGAAACTCTTGTTTTCGAAAAATCAAGAGTTTCAAGTCATCTTACCAATATGTTGTTCCTGGTCCTGGTCCTGAAGGGTCCTGGTCCTGGTGGGTCCTGGTCGTGGCGGGTCCTGGTTGGTCCTGGTCCCGGTGGGTCCTGGTCCCGGTGGTTCCTGGTCCTCTGCATCCACGCCGTGGGGGGGGGGGGAGCAGCCGCAAATTCTCCTAGTCTCCTAGTCAAGGTTCCAGTTAGCGGGTGCCAACTGGGACCTTGGTCTGGGGTACCTGGTTCTGCGGTTGCGAGGCCTCTCGTCCGGATCGTAGTCCATGAGGAATCGTAGCTGCTCGTTCGGGTGGTCCTGAGCTTTCTCGAAGGTCTTCTCCGCTTTTTTCCTCATGTACTCGTGGATGGTATCCCAATGCAGGTCTCTACGCAAGGTTGAGTTCCTTACGTAGGAAGGTGCATTGGTGGCGATCCGGAGTAGCTTCATCTCTAGAGCAGCAAGTCGCTTGCGGTAGCTGGGGGCAGCGTACCCCCAGACCGCGGAGGCGTAAGCGAGCTGAGGTCTGGCGATGGCCTTGATCAGCCGTAGCTTGGTCGCTAGCGGCATCTGGCTGTGTCTACCCAGTAATGGATAGAGTTGAGCCATGGCTGCTCTGGTTTTTGCGATGACAGCTTCTATGTGCGCTTTCCAGGTGAGGGACTTGTCAAAAACGATCCCCAGATATTTGACATTGTCGCTCCACTGGATATCTTCATCGAAGATGGATGCTTCGAGAGGTCTTGCAATCCTTCTTCGTTGAATGACGATTGCCTGCGTCTTCTGGACGTTGATGCGGATTTTCCATTTCACGCACCAGTCCTGAATTTGGTCCAGTTCACCCTGTAGTCTCCTACGGATGATCTCGGGTCGTCTATGCTTGGCGGCTATAGCAGTGTCGTCTGCATATAGGGCCAGCATTGTGTCAGCTGTCTTCGGCACATCGTAAGTATAGATGTTGTAGAGCAGGGGGGCTAAGGCTGACCCCTGGGGCACGCCTGCTTCCAGCTGACGTCTTGTTGAATGGCATGTACCAATCTTCACCGTGAACCATCTTTGTGTTAGATAGCTCTGGATCAGTTGGCACATGTTCGCATCGATTCCGGCGGCTTCCATTTTGGCGATGAGTCCATCGTGCCAAACTCGGTCGAAGGCTCGTTCCACGTCCAGCAGGACGAGACCGGTTGCCTCCTGGAGATTGAAGCCGCTGGTGATGTTTTCCGTCAGTCGTAGCGCTTGGAGTTCCGTGTTGTGGGAGGATCTGAAGCCGAATTGCTCTGGGGGGAGAAGTTGCAGTTCTTCTGCCTGCTTCTCTAGTCGAACGGCGATAGCCTTTTCGACTACTTTGCCCACCGAGGAAACCAGGATGATGGGCCGGTAGTTCTGGGGCAACTTCCGGTCCTTGCCTGGCTTGGTGAGCATTATAACCTGGGCTTCCCGCCACCGCCGCGGGAAGTGGTTAAGTCTCAGAGTGGCATTGGCGATGTTGGTGAGCGCAGCAATGCCTTTGGTGGGAAGGTTCTTCAGCATCCTATTGTTGATGCCGTCCCTTCCCGGCGCCTTTCTGACCTTCAACCTGCGGATGATCAGACGGATTTCCTCTGGACTGGAGGGGTGATCCGTCTCCTGGCCAGGTGGTCGACTCCTCATGTTTTCGGCTGCGACTTCCACGGCCTCCTCGTGGTTGTCGTCCTCGTCTTCATGGTAATTGAGTCTGCATTCGGATTCTAGCGAATCGGCGAATGCTTCGGCTTTTTCTTCACTGGAGTAGGCCAAGCCGCGTTGGCCGTGAAGAGTGGGGATCGTGGTGCGCTGACGACGAAATTTTCGCTGCATAGACCAGGCCGTACCATCCTGGGTCTCTAGCTCTGCACAGGCTGCATTCCATCTGTTGTTTTGGAGTTCCGCGAGTGCGTTCTTCAGAGCTAACGATGCTCTGTTTCGCGCAACTCTCGACTCCTCTGTCAACAGCTGGAGATGTTCTCGCTTGAGTCTTCTGTTCTCCCTGATCAGGTGCCTAATATGGTGCGGTGCTGGACCATTTAGGTATCTAGGAACTGCCGTAGTCTCGGAGCGGGTGCTGTCCTCGTGCGCTCGCAGGACAGCATTCTCCAGCTCCTCTACTGCGTTGTCCAGTTCCTCCGCTGATCGGATGGTTGGAATTTGAGTGATGTTCCTCTGGACGTTGGATTTGTAAA